AGATGAATGAATGAATAAAGTGTGTTTATGAAGCTTATCATCCACTGCACCTGCATATCTGTTCTTTAATTTCTCAGCAGCGTTGTTGTTTCCCATCTTCCTCAGAATCTCAACAGTGACCTTCACAGTCGACTCTTTGCTGTAGTTCTCTGTCATCCTGCTCACAGTGTCTGTCCGGGGTGCCTTACCCAGACGGGACTTAGGAATTGGTTTGCAGCCCTCCAAGATGTTCATGGAGAGGTACCACTTAAATTCTTCGAAGTCAGCATCGTCGCCCAGGTCTTCCAGAGTCTCAAGGAGCAGCTGTGGAACAGACATGTCTGCTCACTGGTGGAAGAGGAGGAATTAGTTTCCTAATTAGTCTTCAATTTAAAGGAAGCATTCAACAATACTTGTAGGCCATATGCTTTGCGCAAAAAGTTAGATGACAGAATAAATCGGCTACTCTTTTATCTGCCCTAGTTTTACAGGGGTTATGTGTTGACTCTGGTCCTGGTGCTCTGCAGTCAGCTGGCTTTTTCCAGAGGGAAAACAGTATAAGAGTATGGAGCTAGAACAGTGACAGTAAAAGGGGATTTATGGTTGTGCGTAGAGCCTACACACGTAGCCTATGCACGTTGCATATGCTGTTGTGAGCATTTTTACTTCTGTGGTGTGTCTGTATCACTCTGCAGTTACGCCTCCAAAACACTAGTCGGCAGCAGATGTTTATGTGAAGTGTTGTAAAGTTTATTTGATTCAAAACACACATTAAACATGTCTTAATAGAGACAATTTGAAAAACAAGTACACAAATCAGCTTCACTATAACTCGCAGCATTCACAGACAAACACGGACACATTTTCCCCACAAATACAACATGCAAATGTTATTAGCGCAAGCCTTTGGCATTTTACATTGTATAAATTAGCCTAGCAACTAGCGATCTTTCCCTCTTCTCACATAAAACCAGGGACAACAGCAACATTTAACTTGACTGGTAGACTCACAAGTCAGTCTTTAGACGCGTTGCTTAACTAAAGACTGATGTCTTTCTCCCTGATTTTGTGTTTAGATGGGCGGATACAATTTCAGAGTTTAAAAAAACTCCCTAAGTTGCAGAACCAATAGTTAATCCGCAGAGCGGTCCTTCAGTGACTCGCTGAACTCTTGTGCTCGTAAACATAGTCCGACTGTGTTAAAAGTTTTAAACAAAGTCGATGTAAGTCCTTCATTTCCACAATCTTGTGGACAGAGCACACGTTTGATAAAACAGAGTTAAATCTCTCGGCATACATTTTCAAGCTCTCTGTGTGTTTGTGTCCTTGCCAACGAGAGAAGGGGGAGCGCACATTACGGAGGGCGTGTCCTTTAAAAAAATGCAAGAGGCGTTGCTTTGTTGCCGGTGTTCTGAAAGTTTGCGCTACCCACTCAGGATGAGCTAGCTCATCCTGTCAGACTAGTCTGATGAAGCCTCTCACTCGTAATACCCTACCCTGGCAAAAACATTGTTTAGTAGCTACTCAGGTCAGATATGTGTAAGAAGCAGAATGGACTATTACCTCAGAGGTAATAGTCCATTCTGATAGATATTTCCTATCTGACAGAATGAGCTGATTGTCTGGTGGCGAGACTAGTTGACTGGAGGCATTTACTATTGGGAAAGTCAAATGATATCAGAAATAAATGTGTAACAATAATGCCAGAAAAAGTCACCATTAGAGCATAATTTTGATTTTAGGATGAAGAAAAGACAACAATCCTCATATCTCACAGTTTCATCAACTTTATTTATTTAATTTCAAATAATTCTGTTAAATGCATATCAAACAGAAAATGAAAGGAAATCATAGAAATAAACAACAAAATACACAAGAAGGACGCAGAAGAATTTTTAAAAATAAGTTATTTAGTTTCCGGTGCTCCTTGCATTGAAGAATTAAATTTCAGTAATTCAGATAACTCAAAATAAAAGCAGCAAATAATACAAAAAATATCTGTATGGCTAGAAAGAGAACAAACAAAACATTTTCTTGCCAAGAGCTTTCTCACTGTCATCTTCAGTGACTGAATTTTGCTCAGATAACAGTTCACATGAACAAAACTTATGCAGCTTTATTCTTGTCCTCGTTTCTGAGATCAAATGTTTGCAATATAGGTGAACAGGAGACGGTAGCCACTTTATGACAACAGTAATGACAATTAACTTTATTTACAGCTTTAAACACACGTCGCGTGTCATCAGGCTGATAGATCAAAACATAAATGATCTTGCTCTATATGTACAACCCACTGCTTATTAGTGTTATACTCTATTAAGTGCAATACACTATTTATTTTACACTTGCAACACTTTGATACAGCCTATTTTTACACAATTTATTTCAGATTTTATAAATGATAATGTTGTCTGTTTCTTTACTTGCGTGTTTTAATGACTAGTTGGCACCTGATCAGATGTAGCCCTCTTAATCTCCTTGTATACTCTTTGTAAAATGACAATAAAGGCTTTCTATTCTATATCAAAAACAAATGTAAAAAGTGCTTTACATTAAATAAGAACAAAAAATCACCGTAGATGTATTAACAGAACTGGATACAGTGTAAGAGGCTGGATCCTGTTCATTCCTATAAAAGTTGCTCAGTGGTGCTTGAAGCAGAAAATGCTCAACTGCTGTGGATAAAATGACCTGGATGCTGCCGCTTCCTCACTGTTGGGCCCATAGAGCAGGTGTACAAGAGACTACTGCTACTTCCGGTTCGGTGCTCTGCTAACTTGAATAGGGATAAAATGATTTAATGATTTGGCTCTTCTGGACTTTCCAAATGTTATTAAATTCTGATGGGTACGCAGCCAGGGGCCAACTGGGACACACATTCAGCCTGGGACATTCAGGCGCACCGGCCCACACACTGGCCCACACACACATTAATGCACCTGCTATGGCACTGTCGGCTCCAGCTCCATCTCCGTTGTTAGCAACACCGGCAGCCTCAGCCCCTCGACCAACGCTGCAGCCAAACAGATCAGTTATTTTGGAGCACTTTGCTGCCTCTTCTTGTAAAGATTGAAGTTTTTTTATTCGGGTTTTTTCCGCGCCACCCTTTTTTTTTGTTTGTTTTTTTACCGGCTTTATGTTTTCTGTCTTTCTCCTTTCTCAATAGCTAGCACTAACGGTCAAACTAGCCTGGTCTGTCATAAGTGATGACTGAGATGAGATTTCAAGAAAAACAAGGGCCTCTTTCGTATTGCAAGAGGCCGCTCTTATCTCCTCCTTCAAGCATCAAAAAATAAGACTGACACCTACGTTCCCTCTGAACATCTCACAGCAAACAAACAACACGGGAGAGACGCACATTGCAGTACTGACAGCTAGCAACTTGCTTGACATTCACTTTTTTCTTTCTTTCTTTCTTTCTTTCTTTGACCACCAGGCCGGCCCCACCGGCCCACAACGGGCAACTTGTTGACCATCCCATCGGGATTCCCGCCGAACGTCCCGATGACCAATCCGCCATTGCACGCAGGCCCGCAGAAAGTGGGGAAAGGATAGCAAAGGCATGACGCTGATGCACCAAACCGTCCCTCTGATTGCTACTACTTGCTGCTATCGTTGGTTGGGTTGGTTAGGTTTAAGCAAGAGGAGTGGGATTGGTTCGGGTGAGGGTAAGAATTCACAGTAAGCCAATCAAAAGCAGAGTAAGGCAGAGTAAGGAGAGACATGCCTTCCCTGTCCTAGGAAATGGAAATTTGCCTCAGGAAATGTGCTGAATTTTCAAGCCAATTTTCATAGTGGCCAAACAGTTGAATTACAACTTCCGGGTCCAACACATGATGCCACGGGCCACCCAAAAAGACTTTTTCCCCATTTTTTCCCCACATCGAAAGTCTAGAAGAGCCTCACAATTAAATCCCTCTAACCCCATTCAAGTTAGCAGTAGGCTAAACCAGAAACTAGTTGCTCCCTTGCTCGAACAATGCAGAAGATCCTGGTAATTGTAATCCCAGGAAGTCAAACTTTTTTGGCTTTATGTGCCACTAGGCAACTTTCAAAGAAATGAACGAAGGGCCGCCCCAAGCTCTGTATCCAGTTCTCCTGATACAAGGGTTTGGTTTGCATGAGTTTATTGAAGTCAGCTATCCATAAGTGGTATTGGAAAATGGGCTAAGAAGTACATTTTCATGAGCTTCTGTGTGTAGGCATGTTTTGCGAGATGACGGCTGCTTTAATGAAACCTTCAAGTGAATAATTTCATATCACGAGTCATGATATTACACTTGATTTTTATTTATTAACTACACTAAACACATGACAAAAAAACTTACTATTTTCTGAGAACACCGTCTTTCAGTAAGTTTTTCAGTAAGACTGACTCCCCTCCTAACATCTGCTTACTTTTAATTGTAATAGTGGTGATGGTAAACTGCTGGGGATGTAACAAATACATTATTATTGCCAACAATACCGCCAGCATTACAGCCAATATTACCGCGAACATTACCACTGATGATCATATTACCACTATGATGGCCAATATTTCCCCTAACATTACCACTGATAATCATGGTACCATTAGAGGGAATAGGAGCGATGGCACCAGCTGCTCCATCAATAAAGGATCTCCTTCCAGTTGGCAGACACAAAGCAGACGAGGAGGAGGTTCCAACTGCAAGGGAGACTTTCTCCTGAGCTGTTGCTCCCTCTGTAAAATAAAGATCAGGACATAGAGAATCAGTAAGAGACACGATTTAGCAAATGTTAACCAGCGTCTACAAACTCACTGATTCACTGTACCTGTGTATGTTTTCTTTAACCTCTCTGCAGCGCTGTTGTGCTTCATCATCTTCAGGATCTCAACAGTCGAGTTCACAGCCTTTTCTTCACCGTTGCGCTCGATCATCTTACTCACAATGTTGTGCCGGAATGGGCTCCCCAGTTGATACAGAGGAATTTGTTCACAGTTTTTCAAGATGTTGAGACCAAGATACCACTTAAATTTATCGAAATCATCTTTACTCAGGTCCTCCAGAGTCTCCAAGAGCAGCTGTGGCACCAGCATCTCTAATAACTGAACAGGTAGGAGAGGGGGAATTATTTAGGCGAGAGGATTTTATGGGATGGAGCTTCATTCAGTCTTACTGTCTTGTCTCGTTACTGTCTTGCAAAACCAGCTTTTCATAAATTGTTAAAAACAGCTCAATTTTCAGCTTTGTGATATTTTATCAGATGATCCAGTGGATTTTAAATGCCTTTTAGCATTAGGATATTCTCAACCTTTAAATATGGAGGACCACAAGTATCATGTAAAGCATTATAAAGAATTCTATCAAATGGTATCTAATTGGACAAGAATTAATAAAATTTTTCACAGGTAGTTAACAATTTATGCTACAATGTGACAACTAGAGGGATAACAGACTCTTTGCTGAGCCCTGCTCCTTAGCTGGTGCTACTCAGTCAAGCTGTAGAGCTAGCATGGAGCCCACTGTCACTAACTGTAGTCACTGAAGAAGTACTGTCAACATATTGGAAAACTGACTCAGCAGCGAAACAGGTTAAAAAGATGAAAACGTGCGGGCGTGCAGATTTGGTCCCCCCCAGTGTTGACTCCATGGCTACAGCCTTGACACACGTCATACGTCACTCTATGTATATCATTTACAAAACACACCCTCACAATTTGCCTTTCTATTTCAGCTGCAAAATTTTCCCAGCTCCCCCTTTTCCCTGGCAATGCCGCTGCTGCTCTTTCAGCTCCACCTCCACCCCAGCAATAATAAGCTCCGACATTATCGGTTCCTTCATTGGTACTTTTGAAAAGTTTTGGTTTGATTTATCATCCTGCTGTAGTCTTTCTCTTCTGCTATCTGCATGGCTGACCTCCTCCAAACGCGTACACACACACACACACACACACGAACAGAGTAAAGTCAGACAACAGTAGAGAGGCCATGGTGTAGACAAAGTGAAGATAACTCGAAGATTACTGATGACAACTACACTTGTTACTGTAAATCATTTACGAGTAAAAAGCCAATACTTTATCGATACATGTATTCATTCTGCTCTGTTTGCAGTCTCTCATTTACCGTTGTTATATTTACACACATTGAGACTGAAAATCTCCTCTACAAGAGAGACCCTTAAAATGCAACAAATACAACATATAAACAACAACTAATGATATTATAAAATAAAAACCAATAAACTTTGTTGATAGATTAATTTATTCATTTGTAAAATATTGTATTAAATCTGGTGTGTACTGATCAGTTAGATATCAATCAGTTAAATGTGTGATAGCTGCTGGCGTGACACATGTGGTCCTCCATACAACAGAAACAATTCATACTTTAGTCTAAAAAAAAAAACTCACTAAAAGATGGTTTTCACTGGACAGCGGTAAAAAAATTCTTACATTTGTCGAAGTTATAACCCGAAAAGACTCTTTTAAAACTACAACTATACAGATAAATAGAGGCATGCAGATGGACCCAATATGCTACAGGAGCACGGCCCTCTCAAGCCTTTCAACCATTCCAGATATCAGGCAGGGGCACCTCTGTATCTGCTCAACAGTTACCATTAAAATCATTGCAGAACAAATTACATATAGGCCATCAAGCACCTACCTGAAGTCAGTGTTTTGTCAGCTCAAACAGCCAAGATGTCCCAAAGCCCCAACAATTAAAGAAACCAGACTGAAACTGAAGCATACCTGAAGCCTTATCAATACCTTCAGCTTCAGACTTCCTTATGGTCTGACGGGAAGACTGACGACAGCACGGTCAAACCCTAGTACCAGTCAAAGTGGGCGTAAACTGATTACAGTTTAAGGTTAAACTTTACCAGGCTGAATGAAGGTGAGACAGAGAATTTATTGCTCTTTCGTGAAGGTCCACATGTCCACATGTCCTCACTGATACTGTACACACAGCTTGTATACACATCCAGCAGACATGTTACGAGGCAACATGCAAAGTTTGTGCCCAACTGATCTGGTGGAGGAAGAAGTACACAGATTTTTCACTGCAGTAAAAGTAGCAACAGTCTTGGATTCAAAATTTTACTTAAGTCAAAGTAAAAAAGTATTACATATACAATTTACTTAAAATACAAAAAGAAACCAAACTGCCCATTTCAAAATAATGAATATTATATGACTGAATTACAATTAGTGACACATTGTACATGAAATGCTGCAGTAAAATATAGAGATATATTCTTTTACTTACAGACTAGCTTGTAAATTTCACCAAGAAATCAATTACCTTTGATCTTTATCCATGACACATCACAGTGTATTTGATGATTATATTTTGTATTATTAATCTGAATCTGCAAAGTAACCAAAGTTATCAGACAATTGTAATGAAATGAAAAGTATAAAGTAGCAGAAAACAGAAAAACTCAAGTAAAAGTAGGGGAGACCGGGGATGGTTGTACATACATGTAACATTTAATTTTTAATTAGGAACAACAAGCTATGAATCAGCTGATTCACTTAGTTTAATCCTTATTCCTCCTGTTAGGAGTTAGCACCCTGTGGCAGACACAGCCAAGTTAATAAGGAAAAAACTAATTTTAGGGAAAAAAAGTTATTTTTTATTTTTATTTTTTTTTGTGATAGTATTGGCTGCTTTGTAGTTAAATTACTCAAGCTTAAATCATGTTTATTATGCATGTATGAAGATATCATTAATGCAAGTTGTTAGTGCGAATGTTTTAGTTGCTACATGTAAGGTAAGCTGGTTTATGACTACAGGGTCTGGGTTCACTGTAACAACATGAAAAAATAATACCCCAAGCAACACATAAACAGACAAACACAGACACACATAGCAACATTTGAATATTTATATCTCATATGCGGGGCCAGAGGAAGTACTGAAGTCAGTTTTTCAATACTACAAGGGGACCCAGCTGCTATTAATTTACCTTACATTTAGATCGTCCAACTTTGGTGATGCAGGTGACTTACTCAGTGCGCCCAGATCCATATTGCCTGTCCATGCCACTGGGTGTGGTGTTGTGTGATAAAACTGCTCATTTTAGAAGGCCTGTTATTGTAACCAGCATTACATATATTTTTGTTCAATGTATATAACAAACAGAAAACATGGCCCCCTGAAGCAGCTGGTACAGTTCAGTGCCTTGTTTGAGGGCAATTAAGAGAGATGACAGCTGTTTCAGTGGTACATATAAGTGGATAATTTTCAATTATTTCACATCATGATTCATATGATATCTCACTTAATTTCTCCTGAAACAACACTTAATGCTTTCAGATGCCTTCTTTTTGACCTGAAAGACCGATTCTTCCATGTTCTTCTGCGTATGATTTTGTAGGGGGGACAGTTAACTGTTGGGGATGTTGAAGGACTTGCTCCAACTGATCCAACATTAGCCTGAACAGTACCCCCAACATTTATGTCAACATCACCCCTAACATTACTTCCAACATTCTGGGCAACATCACTCCAAACATTAAGGCTAACAATCCTGCCAACATTACCCCTAACATTACCTCCAACATTACGACTGACAGTCACACCACCATAACAGGCATTTGGGGCATTTGGGGCCTTCGGAGCAATGGCACCAGCTGCTCCATCAGTTGAGATTCTCTGAGCAGTTGGAAGACCCAAAGCAGACGAGGAGGTTACAAGAGAATGAGAGACTTTCTCCTGTGCTGCTGCTCCCTCTGGAAAATAAAGATCAAGAAACAGATAATCAAAAAAAGACACAAATTAGCTAATATGAAACACTGATTCATTCATTTTTTCAGTGTAGAATAACAATGACATTTTGGCCAGATTTAAGTTCTCATGCTTTCAGTACCACAAATATCACTCACTGTTTTACTCTAAATGATATAATCTGTTACTATGATGATATGAGGAACACGTTTCTGACCTTTGTTGTTAACTTCTTTATTTTATGAGGGAAATTCTTTATTCATAAACAGAAGTTCTTAGGTTCACAACCCTCTTTCCATCTTTTTGGATTGAATTTAACTCAGTGTTGAACTGCCTTGGTCTTATGAACAGCAGAAAAAGTAACACATTTTTACAATATCACAAAAAATTATTTGATGATGTGAAATTAACTGTTTTGTTGTTGTTGTTGTTGTTGTTGTTGTTGTTTTTTATCATCTTATCATTCTTACTTTATCTATTATTTGTTCATCTTTCATTGCAATTTGTTTCAGCTCTCATGTATTGTTCGTTCTATACATGACGTGTTTTAGTACATTGTTTAAGTGAATACAGTTTTAAAAAAAATACATGCCCCAATGTGGCGCTGGCATCAATCACATGACTCATCCTCAGTTCTATCGTCCTTAATTTCATCCAGACCTCTGCTGGAAAAAAAGTTTGCTGCCCCTCAGAGTTTTTCCTAGGAAAAGGAGCTTGTAACTTGTATGGTCAATGAATTAATTTCCCTATTAAAAAGCTATTTGACTAAGAAAGTAATGACGTCACCACCCTGCTACTGTGAATACACTTAAATTCTAAACGTCGCTACTTGAAGTGATGCTTCACTTCACTGCCGTTATCTGCCGTGCCTTCATGTGTAACGCTCTGCAGTGTCAGCATCATAACTCTTTGGCACTGCAATTAATTAACAACCTACATTAATATCAATGCTGAAAGAAAGACAGACCTACAGGAAACAACACAGTCAGTGTTACATCCGTTACAACACTGCAACAGCCGCCTTCAGGTTTTCCTATCTTCTGCTGTAGCTTTCATCATTGCATTTGACAAAATGTGAAACAGCTGAACAACATTGGGGCCAAAGAGCCAAAATTATCCTTTGATAAGCATCAAAAACCAAAATGACTTACTGTGTCCACAGATACCACCAATGTACATAAAGGGACACCTATTATTTGACTTTCAGGAAGTTGGCAAAAACTAAGAGCGCCGCTGCAGAGGTGACTAAGATTGTGAGGAAATACTGACAGTGACATGAGTCTGATTCTCTTCAAGAGTACCCACAAACAATGGAGGAAGTATTCAGATCATGTACTTCAGAGAAAGTACTCACACTACAAAAATACTCCACTACAAGTAAAAGTCATGCATTTAAATTTTATGTAAGTAAAAGTATATCAGTATTATCAAAAGTGAAAGTACTGATTATTCAGTAAAATATTCCCTGTCATAATATTTTTGTTTTATTGTGTTTTGCTTTGTAGTCAAATTACTCAAGCTTAAATCATGTTTATTATGTGCATATGTCGATATCTGGAAGTTGTTAGTACAATTGTTTTAGTTGTTACCTGTAAGGTAAGCTGGTTTACAACTACAAGAGTCTGGGTTAAATGTAGCAACATGGAAAAATAATAACCTACCCCAAGCAACACATTAAGTTATTTGAGTGTTGAATGAAAAGTTTTCAGTGTCTTTAGTTACAACTCTCTGGGACTATGGGTTGAATTTTAACATTTCACTCCTTATGTTTTGACCAAAGCATGCATTTTCTATATGTGCTACAGAGGTTTCAGCTACTGTATCACAGTTTGAACGCACACTCAAAGATACAGAGAGAAACGTCAAAAATGTTACAACCATCCCCGGTTTCCCCTACTTTACCTCAATTTGGTATTTAAGTACAGTTCTTCAGTTAATGTATTTAGTTACATCACACAACTGTGTAAGTCCAATATTGTCTCCCCTTTTAGTTCTGTTTTTGTACCTCCAGAGTGAAAAGTGAATGTTCATTGGCTTGTTGTTAGTATGTCTCCTGGGAGTGTACTGTGAGTTTATCAGAGCTTTTCACCATATACATGACACTAATGAGCACACACAACAATTTATTCTTGCAAAAAAAAAAAAAAAAAGAATCTTAACACCCCCTAGCTGTTGCTGGAGCTTTTAACCACACCTCAATGTCGTCCTCAGTGGATGGAGTTTGCTCAGTTGTCAACACATGAACTAAATGTGGAACTTCTTGTCCTTGTTTCTGAGGTAAAAAATAAAATGCACTTTGTCTTTCATCACCAAAACAAAGGAAATGATCATAGACTTTCGGCGTGGTGATGCAGTTCACCCTCCTCTGCTTATCTATGGTCAAAAGGTGGAGCGAGGAAGTAATTTTAAATTCCTAGGAACAACCCTATGTGACAACTTAAAGTGGGAAGTTAACACCAGCAACATTATTAGTCGGGCCCACCAGAGGCTTCACTCACTGCGTCAGTTAAGGACGATTGGGGTCTCCAGGGATGGGAAACTCAGCTTCTATAGAGTGACAGTTGAGTGTGTTCTCACATTTTCAGTGACGATGTGGTGTGGAAACACAACTGAGCACAACAAGACACAGCTAGAAAGAGTGGTATGCACGGCATCAAAGATTGTAGGCTGTGACCTTCCTTCTGTGGCCTCCTTATATGCCACACGCATTAAGCAAAAGGGGGAGAAGGTGATGGGAGATCCCTCACACCCTGCTTCCTCTGTTTTTTAAGCTTCTGCCTTCTGGCAGGAGACTCCAGAGTATTAGGTGTAGGACATCTCATTTTAGAAATAGCATGGCACCAGCTGCTCCATCAGTAGAGATTCTCTGAGCAGTTGGAAGACCCAAAGCAGACGAGGAGGTTACAAGAGAATAAGAGACTTTCTCCTGTGCTGCTGCTCCCTCTGGGAAATAAAGACCAAGAAACGGATAATCAATAAAAGACACAAATTAGCTAATATTAAACATCGTCTATGAACTCATTGATTTGCTGTACCTGTGTAGGTTTTCTGTAA